ACTGTGTGTGTGTGTGTGTGTGTGTGTGTGTGTGTGTGTGTGTGTGTGTGTGTGATGGGGGATTGGAAGAGAAGAGGGAGGGGGATTTCAGGAGGATAATTTTGTTATTCGTTGTCGGAGATGGTTGACATGTGGCATGCTGTACTCCAAGGTGCGTGTTCTGTGTAAGAAAGAAAGGATAAAAGAACTAATGGAGGAAGTGGAAAAAATAGAAGCAAAAAGAAATGAAAAAGAAGAACACTGAAAAAAAAAGAAAAGAAAAAAAGCCACAATACAAAGGACAGCACAGATTGAAGACGCAATCAAGCATAGAAACCAATCTGAGAGAGAGAGAGAGAGAGAGAGAGAGAGAGAGAGAGGGGGGTAGAGTCGAAAGAGAAGAAGAAAAAGAAGAATAAGAAGCTCCAGCTCCCTGGAGCTTTCAGACAGCACTACATCTTGTAATGAGAAGTCCGGATGAAGGGCGACCACTAGACAAACAAGGGGAGAGAACGATTCAAAGGGCGGTAATCCAGACACTCTTTCCTGCAGTCTCTTGCAAGTCTGACCCACCGAAACTCAAATGTTTTATTTCCTTACTTTTCTAAACATAGGTGATTTCAAAAACTCTTACTAAAACACGACTGATTCTAGATCTGTTGCGGTGAAACCTGTTGGCTTTTAAATGACCAAAATTGAGTCGATAGTGCCGTAAAACACACACTCAATCAGTCAATCATGTTGGTGATTTTCCTTCCCCTTCGACGACACATTTTATATCAGTTTAGGAGGCAGGCTTCGACCCAGCCTATCAGGTCTGACCCGTTCTGAGAGGGATAGATACAACGTCACAGCAGACAGACCGAGATACGGGGGTGAAGATTTTCATCCGTCGGGAGTCGAACTCGGGTCTCCTACGAGCGAAAAGGAAGCGTCCTACCGTTACACGACAGACGTCGGCTCAAGTGGAGATACATGAGCTGTACATTATTCTTGCGTTCAGGCTGGATTTTCTGTTTGCCTTCTTTCTTTCTTTCTTTCATTCATCGTTTCTTTCTTCCCTTCTTTCTTTCTTTCTTTCTTTCTTTCTTTCTTTCTTTCTTTCTTTCTTTCGTTCTTTCTTTTGTTCTTTCTTTTTTCAATTTGTGCTCCTTTCTATCCCTAAAATAAAACCTATGCTCCTCCTTTCCTATCAAACATATGTCGTCCTTATCTCCCCTCCTTTTCTGAGTATGATACTCTCTTGTAACATACAATCTATTCTTCGGCACTTATTATGACCTTATTGGGTTGCAAGTGCCGTTAAACACTTACAAAAACTAAACTAAATAAAACCAATTCATGTCTACGACATTTTGTTTCTGACCAAGCTTTCGAGTCAGAGATCAAGGCGAAATTATCGTTACTCAGCAAGACATAACTTTATCGTTTTCTCCGTACTGCTCTGTCATCTAAAATTGCGTCCCAGTTTGTT